TAATAGGTTTATTTTTCAATAGATTAATATTTTATATTGCTCAGTTTTGATTTCTATTATAATATGATAAATGCCAATATATATAGCCCAAGTAAATAAAAGCTCTCTGGGGGCTCTTAGTAAATTTTAAGGATATAATGGGAGCATGAAACCAAAAGTTTGAGAAGGAGCTGCTGAGCTGTAACTGGGTTAACCTATTATCTCAGCAGAGTAAGAACCACCTGACAGACCACCTTATTGCAATCTCCATCTTGACCTCTCACTACCCAAGAGCATTCTGGCCATTCTCTGATCAGATCCTAATTTGAAAAAATTTAATACCAAGCATTCATGTTCTTGCATAATAAAGTTAGTGAAAGTATGGTGGTTATTTTCATGAAAAAAACCCTTCAGATATACGCAGACCATAAAAACATTTCAGCCTTTACTTTGCCAAAATGGGTAACTAGAAGTAAGTATCTCTCCCTGGCTTCTATTTTCCAATCTTTAAAAAAAGAAAAAATTATTACAGCAATTCCTTACCTCCAGAACATATCTCAAAAGAGATTCATTAGTTCATTTATAAATCATAGTGTACCTTTGACCTGGCTCCACAAATATTGTGGGAGCCCAGTCCTAATTAGGACCTTCACAGCAGAATTATATCTAAAGAAATAAAATCCACTAGATATGGTGCAAGTTTAATTGACAGTGCTAAGAACACTGCACTAAAATTACATTTTGCAAGTAAGGTATACACATCTCACAGAGCATTTTAAAAGAGTATTAATATTTGCTTGTTCAGGTATTTGAGATTTAAGCACTTTTCAAAAGACTATTTTAGAGGAAATAAAAGGGAAAAAGGGGAAAGTTATTTTAATTCCAGTGTTACAATATGCAGGGAAACCTTACGTAAGGAAGCATTTCTTTCAATATAAATTTACTTTGTCATAAGGTTAAACTGTCTACCCTAATGATGTGTACTGCTGGCCTGAGGAAACTTTTCTTTCTTTTCTTTTTTTTTAGAATTAAAAAAACAATAAACATGAGTCCAACATTTATCATTCTGTTGAATTATGTGTTCTCATTAAAAAGTGTTTCCCCATAAGTATACGATTCTAAAAGTCTTTATCATTTCTCTTATGAAATAATAACTTTGTACACCATAACTAAAAAGGAAGAAATTTATATTTTTGGGTGTTTATCCTTCAATCTGTATTGTAAAATACCTTTAAAATCAGAAATTATGATTGAATGCTAAGTCTGCCATAATTTGTGAGTACTGGCTCCAACTAATAAAATATATTTGGCTACTGTGACCAACACCAAAACTGAAATTCACCAGCATCTTTAAGATCAGAAAGCCACTAGCAAATTATTATCCGTTTGGGGGATTATTGCCCACTTAGGGGAATAGTGCAGGTTATATTAGAAAGATTTTGGTAGTTGTGATGTTCAATGAAGAAAAATAGACATAAAATATGAAAAAAATGCTTACCATCGAAATCTACAGTAAAAGCAAAAGTCTCATCATGATTGCAAAACATTTCAAATTGTGAAACATTTGTAAAGTAGACAAAAGTGAAGCAGCTTCCTCAGTCATTTTTTGAGATCTCAGCATCAATTTAAAGAAAATGCTTATATTTGAAAGACTATTTCAAAATATGAATCCCTACACTAAGTACATACAAGCATATGAAGTAAATTTATGTCTCATATATAACATTTCTGCTCCATGTGTATGTGAATGAAGATGATAGGAGACTAAAATTAGAAAAAGTTATTTGCTTCACTATTGAATTCTTTAAGGAATACCAGAGCCTCCATATTAAAAAACACAAAGACTATAGAACTAAATAGATGCTAATGTGAAAAAAATAAATTCACATAAAATTGTTATTGTGGAGCACATGGAAAAACAGGCATACATACTTTATTGTGTAGAAAAGATAACCTTAT